GAAGCAATCTGGAGAATATTTTCATGTGCAATACATGAACGCCATCCGACTGTTGTGCATCTGGCAGTTCATTTGGAGAATGGTCAACGAGTTTATTTCAACGCAGAGAACATAGTACAGCGAGCGGAAAGACCACCAGCAACCACTTTAACAAGTTTCTTTGCAACTTGCGCCAGTAATCCGTTCGCGAGAACATTGCTTTACTCTGAGATGCCTCGGTATTATACATGGAATGGATCGTCGAAGAAATGGTTACGCAGGAGGTACGGCCATCCAGTATATGGTTATCCAGGTGTTTTTTCAACTGATGCATTGGGAAGAATTTACAGTATCCATCCAAAGAACGATGATTGTTTTTACCTACGTTTGCTTCTGGTCAATGTACGCGGTTCAACTTCATTTCAATCTTTGAGGACTGTAGACGGTACCATTTGTGCAACATTTCGAGAAGCATGTCAACATTTGCAACTGCTTGAACACGACAGTCACTGGAATCAAACGCTAGCAGATGCAATAGCTTCCTCACCAGCCACTGCAGCTCGTGCACTTTTCGCTATAATAATTTCGACATGTCAGCCTTCAAACCCGCGTCTATTATGGGATACGTAAAAAGATGACATGGCAGAAGATATTTTGCACCGCTTGCGACTCGCGACAAGAAATTTCGAGTTGCAAATGAACGCTGACATCTACAATGAAGCATTAGTACTTATTGAAAATTTATGTTTACTCATGAGTGGAAAACTATTGATTGAAGTTCATATGCCAGCGCCAAGTCGTCAAGCAAGGGATGTACTGAATCGTGAATTGGAACTCGAGCGTGCTTACGATATAACTCACTTGCAACAACAAGCACAAACAAATTTTCCACTGTTGAATGAACAGCAAAGCAGTGCGTACAATCAACTAATAAATGCTGTAGATAATGGAAACGGTGGCATATTTTTTTTCGATGCGCCCGGCGGGACCGGTAAAACGTTCCTATTGTCTTTAATACTAGCAGCAATACGTGGTCAAAGTGGTATTGCATTAGCTCCTGCATCTACCGGGATTGCGGCAACACTGTTGGAAGTTGGAAGAACGGCACATTCAGCATTAAAGCTTCCATCAAACTTGAAAATACACGAAAGTCCTGTTTGCAATATTTCAAAGCAATCAGCAATGGCACAAGTTTTAAAAAACTGTAAATTGATCATATGGGATGAGTGCACAATGGCCCACAAACGATCATTAGAAGCACTCGACCGAACATTGAGAGATTTGCGCAATAATGATCGTTGCTTTGGAGGAGTGATGATATTGCTGGCGGGCGACTTCAAACAAACACTACCCGTGATTCCAAAATCAACAGCGGCGGATGAGCTAAACGCATGTCTGAAATCATCGCATTTGTGGAGGTTTGTTAAAACCATTTCATTGACCATCAATATGCGAGTTTTGCTGCAACACGATAGAACTGCAGAGGTTTTTTCAAAAGAGCTGCTGCGAATCGGCAACGGACAAGTTCCGATAGATCTTTCCGATCGATTCCAACTGCGATTTGCCAATTCGCTTCAAGTAAGGGTGAACTAATTAGCAGTGTATATAGGGATGCAAACGATGCATCGATGTTTCTGAAACATTGATAACATCGGCTAAAAAACCGATGTTTACCATCGATATTTGAAAATTACTCAACATCGTAAAATTGGCGATATATCGATGTCAATTTTAACGATGTTTTAAACATCGACTTTAGTTTCGGTTAAAAATTGCCATTGCGTTCACATCTTTATGTTATATTCTTTGGGCTCTGTCACACGGCCAGTATTTATTGACGTGATCCAAGTATCGCTATATTTATTGACGGTGTAGTATGCAGTATTGATGGATCGTGATCCATATCGCAAAATTTCTAAAAATTTTGAAATCTGGATCGCGGATCGCAATACCGTCAATAAATATTGAACGTGTAGCACTTTCAAAACGCGATCCATACATTTCTTCAGTACATCTTTTACTCTCATAATGTAAACATCGGCTCTGCCTTCACTCTCGGGGCTTAAAATCTTTCAAAACAAATTGAACAAATCTTAAAATAATTGTGGAATGCATTATCTGTAAATTATACGTACAAAATAAAAATATTTTCTTGCGTCATAATAAGCGTTCAGCAAAAAAAAAAATATGCAAATACTGACGCGATAAATATTGAACATGTAGCATTCGTGCGCGATCCATCAATCCATCAATATCGATCGCGATCCAAATATCGTGATAATTACTGACCGTGGGACAGAGCCCTTTGGGTAAGCGTATTACGGGTGATGGCAGCCATGTAATTAATAAAAGCATTGGCAACGTTGAACATAGGCGATTTCCATGACGTAGTTACAGTATTTCAATACGACTACAGGCTAACCTAATATTCACGCACGCCGCCAATTTACTGTCAAAAATTTCTCATGCACATACAACTTGTATGGGACCAACCGAAATAGAACGGCGTGCGTATGAAGCTAACTCAATTTCCAATTTTTGTTCTGCGTGACATTTTGATTTGACGTTTCGCTCAATGAAATCAAATGCAAACGCACGCAAGCCAATTTCGGGTGACGCAAAAAAACAAATTCGACGGCGTGCGTACCAAAACGCAAGCCGCGAATATTAGGTTAGCCTGTTAAGGTGAGTGTAAGTATTATCTGCGCGTAAACAGCAAATCTATTATGACATTGGAAGGAAATCTAATTAAATTCAAAAAACCACCCATTGAAATGTTAACAATGTAGCAGTTTAGATGCACACTAGGTGTTTCTTGAAATTTTAACAAGCATTAAGTCAGTTCCAGGTATTTCAGGATTTGCAGGTTTTACAAGTAAAGCGGTTTTCGCCATTAATAAACCTTATGGAAGGTGGCGTACGATAACAGTTTCCTGTAAAAACCTGTAAATCATGAAGTACCTGTAACATACTTATTAAAAAAGAGAAACATCGGCAAATATCGATGTATCGATAGTTTTAGGGCGATTTTTTTCGGCATCGATGTTAGTCTTTACGATACATCGAAATATCGAAATTACCCAGTGGAGTTCTTAAACTCTCTGGATTTGCCTGGAATGCCTCCTCATCATTTGCGTCTCAAAGTTGGGTCTGTTGTTATTATGCTACGCAATCTTCATGCTCCCAAACTGTGCAATGGTACACGACTGATTGTTACGAAGCTAATGGACAATTTAATAGTGGCAAGCATTTTGAAAGGCCCGTTCAAGGGAGAGGAATGCTTACTTCCCCGGATTCCCTTAACTTCAACAGATTTGCCCTTCCAATTCAAACGTATGCAGTTCCCAGTGAAACTTGCATTTGCGATGACAATTAACAAGTCACAAGGGCAGTCGTTGGAAGTATGCGGAATAAACCTAGAAATGCCATGCTTTTCACATGGTCAGCTCTATGTGGCGTGTTCCCGTGTTGGAAACCCGTCCTCGCTATTTATTTACGCTCCGGGACAGAAAACTAAAAATGTTGTGTATCGTGCAGCCTTAAACTGAATACTAAAATTATATATTTTTGAAGTTGTATACACAATGAAGTAGTGAAAAATCGTTAATTTTCTATTAAAAATAATACCGGTGTAATAACAATTTTTGAAATGAAATTAATAAAAAAATCTATTTTGGGCAGAACGAAGTTTGCCGGGTCAGCTAGTATCTATATATGTGTATTTTACAGAGCACTGTGTGGCTCTGTTTCTCATTGCTCCAACAAAATTTACTGAGGCGGTCATTGGAAAATTTCGAGATTTTGAATTGTTCTTAAAGTTACCGTAAAAATAATCTCAGGCTGGACATAGTCCAGTTCAGTAATATCTACATATGTGATTTATTCTAGCAAGGGTACGTTTAACCTAGCATTATCTTGTTACAATTGAGCGTTGTAGTATAACTAATATTTTTATGATACATTTATTTTAGTTTTTAGGTCTAGTTGAGAGGTCATCTTTAAGGTTCGAACATGCTTCAAAGTCCGCTTACTTCATGTATACTATTTTACAACTCTACAATAGGGATGTTGCGAATGTGAAATTTTAGACATCCGCGAATGCGAAAGTTAGTAGTTTTTAATAATGTTCATTTTATTTAGTACTTGAATGTAAAAATTGTAGCATTATATGTAATAAAAAGTAATGAGAATTGAGTCCGGGCTGAAAATGTCGGATGTATCCTCCTGACTTTCATCTTCACTGAAAGAATCTAGCATAATGGCAAGATCGTTGTTTAAACAGCGCTTACAAGCCAAGCCATATGTCTCAGGTTTTTCTAAAGCTTTTTAAAAAGAATTCTTCATTCTCATTCCTTTGGCTGTTTCAGAATTTGGGGAACCTGTAACGTCATCAGCGTTTTTTTTTATAATTCAGTTTTTGTAATTGATTTTTAATACTTTCTTCTGCGACTGGTGTGAAAAATGTGTGCTTATAGCGAGCTAAACAGGTGGATAAGGAAAATTAATTATTATTTTGCAGGAATAAAAATTTTGAACAAAATTATGTTTTCANAACAGGTGGATAAGGAAAATTAATTATTATTTTGCAGGAATAAAAATTTTTAACAAAATTATGTTTTCAAAGTCGTGAGTCGAATCGAATCAGAATATTGTTATTTTTCTTGTAAAGTACCCCGTTTTTAATAAGCATTTGAATTATTGGAATCACGGATGATGTGGGTCTCAGATAGTTACGTAATTCTTACTTAGTTAAAGGTCAGACCTATAGCGTTTTCTCTTTATAGCCAGACGTTGACCATTTCTGCTGGAAATCCCCTTTGAAGGAGCTAAAGGCCTGTATGCACCTCTCAAGAAAAGCAAAAACTCCATACAAAATGACGTACAAGAAATGCCTAAGAAATTTTCTTGAGTCAAATTTACTTAAGGCAGTACGCAGTTCTTAAGAAATTTACTACGCTTTCTACTACGGTTTTCTAAAGTTTTTTGTGAAAAAAGAGCACAAGGCAACCCAGGCTTGCAACAGAAATATATGCCCGTTCCATTATTTCTTGAGGAAAGATTGAGGCAACAGGCTGTGAGGTATCAAAAATGTCAAAATTCCTTGGACACACACGCGAAATAATGGCAATTTTTTCTTGACCGTTTTCTTGAGAGCTGCATACGGGGCTTTACTCTTTGACTTTAAATAGCAAAGAAGGGAGACGTAGGGGGAGAGTTTTACCACAGAAGTTTTTAGCCAGGGATGCAATGTATATCCCTATCAAAAATAGTGAACAAAATTACTGTTTTTTAAACTTTTGCCAAAAATAAATTCCCAAAGAACCCTATTTAAAATGATTGAAACGGACACACAAACACCCTAACCAACACTTTTTTCGAAACTGCGTTTGTCACGGCTTTTGGTAGGATATTAAAAAACACCTTCAATAAAAATTTGAAAGTGTTAGTACCAAAAACAATCCGTATGAATGATTTGATTTTTGTAATGTTTTTTGCTTCTCCTGTAAAATAAAAAATTTGCTGGTTAGGGCATTTGTGAATTAAGGTGACGGTATGTAACATCAAAAGTAGATCAAAATGCAGGTATTTAAAGCACAGAAAACAAAAAAAAATATTATCCCTTTCCCTGCATTTGTACAATATATTGTACATTTAATTTTTGTAATATTGGAAGCCTACTCCTAAAAATCTTATTAATATTTTTGAAAACAAATTAAACTTTATGAAGTTTTGGAATGTCCCGAATAGTTTACGTAAATTTCGAAATCGAAAACACGTCAAAAATGTTTTTAGAATTTAATTTAAAAATAGACCATTTTATAAAATTCCAGTGACACGCAACAATATACGCGAAAGTTTAGTAAAATCCCTAATAAAAGCAAATAATATGGAAATATAGAAAGCAGTTCATTATATAAATATGCTAAAATTAAACTGTCATGATTAAAAATATTTTTCCCGAGTGGTAAAAAAAGGTTGTAAGTGTCTTGTACAATATATTGTACAAACGTCCGCAAAGGTTGCAGATGAACAGGCAATTAGGGTGGTTTTTGCCGTGGTTTTTGAAGAGCTTGTCCGCTGTTGTTGCAGTAAAGGGTAGGTTTTTGATTTCTTGATCTACTGAAGGCAGAAAAACCGGCAAGGTTAAAACGGCTCATATGTATTTTATATTGTAATTGTATCTGAAATTTTTCAAAATTTCTTTGTATAATTCTCTTCTCATGGAGAAAATTTAAAAATTTTTTAATGCAAATCTTAAGTAAAGATACTTAAAAAGATATAAAATAATTATTCCAACATATCTGCAGTAAAATCAATTATTTTGTACATAAATAAGTTCATTTTCAATGAAATAAAAGTTTTATTCTGTCAAACTTAGTGAAATATTTATTGAGTTCCCTTGAGTGCTTTTACTCCT